TCCCTCCCTCCCTCCCTCCCTCCCTCCCTCCTTCCTTCCTTCCTTCCTTCCTTCCTTCCTTCCTTCCTTCCATAAAAATAGTTTTTTCTTGATTTCAGAGAGAGGAAGGGAGGAGAGAGAGACAGAAACATCAATGATGGGAGAGTCATTGATCAGCTGCCTCCTGCACACTTCCTGCTGGGGATCGAGCCCGCAACCCAGGCATGTGCCCTGACCAGGAATCGAGCCACGATCTCCTGGATCATAGGTTGATACTCAACAGCTGAGCCACACTGGCTGGGCTCAGTCAATAAACTTTCCATGAAGGAAGTCTAGGGCCACTGGAGAACTACCTTACCCCCTAGTTCCAGCCTTAAGGGTAGAGACCTCTGCATAGCCCAGTTTCTTTTCTCTTTCCCTCAGAAAACTCTATTTCACAAGATTTTAGCCCAAAGCAAGACTGCCATAGAACAGTTAATTTTTTGCTAACTGGAAGCCTTAAGTGATTAAATCAGCCTCTCCTTGCCCTTTTTCCTAAAGGCACACATCTCAAAAGTCACTAAGTTTAACAGCCCCCACCTCCCCAGTGAACCACTCAATCAAGTCTTGTCTCTCTATTCCATTCCCCAAACACACCAAACACTAAAGTAGCACTTCATCTGGATGCCTGGACAGCACCTTGCTCACTTTCTTAGGAGACCCAGAAGTGTCTTCTCATTACAACTTTCACTGTGCCTACCTCTGCCACCTTGGGGCTACTTTGCTTAAACAGAAATGGCAGGGATAGACATAACTGCCTTTAAGTTCGGAGTGGGGTGTTGCTTCATGCAACAAAATTCAGATGGACAGTGAGATGCCAGAGCTAATTTAAATGTTTTTGATGCTTGGCTTTGTTGATGGTATAATGTAAGATTGTATAATCATATGCTGGATTTTGCATTTTCTCTATAACACATCTATTTTTCCTGATACTGTATCTTTACCATTTAAAAAAAGTATATATCTATTGATTTCAGAGAGAGGAAAGGAGAGGGAGAGAGAGAGAGAGAGAGATAGAAACATCAATGATGAGAGAGTCACTGATCAGCTGCCTCTTGCACATCCCCCACTGGGGATCGAGTCGCAACCCGGGCATGTGCCCTGACTGCAGAATGGAACCAAAATCTCCTGGATCATAGGTTGATGTTCAACAGCTGAGTCACGCAGGCCGGGCTCTTTACCTTTTTGATAATGCTAGGTTTTTTATTGATTTGGTTTGATTTCCTTTGTATTCCCATAGTGAATAGTTCATTAAGGTGATACCCTTTACCCAGGTAATCCTGTAGATTTGTTGCTATATCTCCCTTCCCCCTTCTCTCAGGGTGGACCACTATTAGGTTATTCTCACTGTAAGAACACTCCATTAACAATTTATTTTTCACAGTTAATAACAAAACTCTTTTTAAGTAGAAGATAAGTTTTTTTTTAATGCCTAGAGGCACATTCTAACAAGTTTTCAGCTTTTAGCATTCTTGATTTTGGCTGTATGCAAAGCAAATAAACTCAATAAAGCTTGTTCTGTAGTCCGTCTCTGTCTGTCACATGGGGAAGGAAATAAAATAGAATATTGACAGTTCATACCTGAGGGTTGTCACAGAAACAAAATGATCTTAAGAGGTTGTGTGTGGCATAACCAAGTTGTGCCTGACCAAGCTGATGGCCTCCATTTGGGTATTTGTACAGGAGAGGGCCCTAACCAATAGGAGGTTCTCATCTGTGTAAGCACGTGGGGAGCAAAGAGAGTGGCAGGAGAAAGAATGCTGATAGAGATGAGTAGAGGGGGCAAGGTTGTGGTTGTACTCCAGCCTGGCCCAGGGACTGGGTCCAAGTACTATAGCAATATGGGCTTTTGGAACAAGCCATTATCAAAAGGAAAGGGCCCTGCTGTGCTCAGATAAAGTGTAGCATGGAGTGAGCAAGGGGAAGGGGTGCTAGATCAGATATTTAACCTGGCACTCCTGCAGCATTTGTAAAATTTGTGGGATTCAGAAAAATAGTTCAATTAGGGATTCACATACCCATATGTATAAAAGTATTTGAAATATTCAAATCAACCAATAAACCATTAAACAAAGTAAGTTGGAGAGAATGGCACCCTAGTACACTATTTGTAGGAATGCAGACTGGTTCAGCCACTGTGGAAAACAGTGTAGAGTGTCCTCAAAAAATTAGAAATGAAACTGCCATTTGACCCAGTAATCCTACATCTAGGCATATATCCTAAGAAGCCTGAAACACCAATCAGAAAGAATATATGCACCTCTATGTTTGTAGCAGTGTTATTTACAATAGCTAAGATCTGGAAACAGCCCAAGTGCCCATCAGTAGATGAATGGATAAAAAAACCCACTGTGGTACATTTACACCATGGAATACTCTGCAACTGTCAAAAAGAAAGCAACTCGTAACCTTTGAGATAGCATGGAGGGACCTGGAGAGTATTATGCTAAGTGAAATAAGCCAGGCAGAGAAAGACAAAAATCATATGACCTCGCTTATGTGGACTCTAATGAACAAAATAAACTGATGAACAAAATAGACCCAGAGACATGGAAGCATGAAACAGACTGACACATAGCAGAAAGAAGGGTGGGGGGGGACAGGAAGAGATTAACCAAAGAACTTCTATGCATATATGCATAACCCATGGACACAGACAATAATATGGTGAAAGCCTGGGGAGGGGGCAAGAGGAGGGTGGCAGAGGTCAGTGGTGGGGGGAAAGGGGGACATCTGTAAAACTTTCAACAATAAAGATAAATTAAAATAATATCAAAATACTATAAAAATGAAAAATAAGTTATATCTTCTTCCATGACAAATGTACCTTCATAACCACCTGAAAAGCCAGGTTGGGATTTAGAATTCTCAGATTCCTGTAAGTTCTGCTCCAATGGTGTGAGAAGAGGTGCCCCTTTCCCCATCACCTAAACCAGACCCTATCCCCTGTTCTGGATATCCCCTGTCCTACCCCTTAGGCCTGGGAGCACAGGCCCTCCCAAGGACAGCTCCAAGAGAAGCGTGCAGGCCCTGGCAGCAAGCTTGGGACTGTGAAGGTGTGCCAGGTACCTGGAACGTGGGTTAGCAGGGGCATACCCCTTGTTCTGTGGGCTGGGCTCCTGGCCCTATAGGGAGGGGCATGCTTGGAAGAGGACAAAAGTAGGGACTCTAAAGCATGGAGCTCAGGACAGAAGTCCCTGTTGTCTGGGTCTAAGAGCAAAACTATAGTATCAACTTATACAATGTAAACACTGACAAATCAGAATCAATTTGAAGGTGCCCAAATCATACTATATAGAAACCTGTCTATTGGCCTGCCCTTTCATTTTAGGTAATGATGACAAGGGGCCTGTGCCTCTCTGTTTCACCATGTGGTTCCAGCCATAAGGAATACATAATACATTTTAAAACATTGACATACAAAAAATGATCCTGGAAGTGTTAAGTTTGCCTCACTTTGACACACATTAGTAGAACAACCTACTAAGTGAAAAACTCACTTAGTAGGCTTTGGAAAAGAAAAATAAAACCTTTTACAGTCCCAACCATTCAGAAGTTC